TGTGAAATTGCTTTCAAGAAAGTCACTCCAAATAGTCAGAAACCCCTCTCATTTGCTTGGTTCTTCCAGCAAGAACACGATAAAAAAAAAATAGCTAGATGAAGTCAGATACAGACATGCAGTGAGTAGAAAAATGTGTTCATACTAAATGTTTCTAAGGGCCTGCATATTATTATTTAACTTTTAGTGAAATGAGATCAAAACCAAATCTCAACACATTGCCATTGAGTCAAGACCAGCTCATCCTCCAGAGGGTTTTCACAGGCTGTAAATCACTCAGGAAGAGATTGCTTACCTTTCTCCCAGAGCAGCTGGTGGATTTGAACCACCCACCTTTCTTGTTGGCAGTGTAACTCCCTATCCACCATAAAACTAAATTATGCTTGATCTTATTTTACTTGCAAAAAAGTAATTTTATGACTAATACTACATAACCTCATATACTTAACAGATTTCCTACCAACTTTTCTAAATTTATCATAAATGTCTCATTATTCAATTTTGTATGCACAATTGAGAAAAGAGTTTAGATCTGACCAAGAATTTCATGTTGAGCTTGAGGATTTTCTCCTGTGCACTTCTGGAAAGCCAGTACTCTCCCAGAAATCCCAAACCTGGGATGGACTTCCCGAATCCTAAAGAAAGATACTGTTGGTGTTAACACCTGAGTGGAAAGCATATCCAGATTTTTTTTTTTAAAAAAAAAGAGGTTAGGCCAATTCAAATAAATTTAGGACTGCTGTTAATTGGTTCTGACTCATCGCGACCCTCTCTCTCGTTTCCCAAGATGAAAATTACAACAGGTTTCCCATCTTTTTCCTGAGGAGCTACTGGTGGACTCAAACCACTAGACACATGCAGCCTTTGGGTTGGTAGCACTCTTAGTGCAATTAAAGCATCTTCAAATCCTCATGATGCTCGTTAGCTGTCTCAATCTCATGTAACTGCCGTGAGTTGTCTCAATCTCACATTACCTTCTTAGGGTTCCTTGAAAGTAACATGCTTCATACAACAGGTACCCTCATCTTCTTCACTGGGAGTGAGTTCAGTGTGAACCAGGAAACACAAAGACCAATTCTTATTGTAAGACAAGTCTGACCTGTCCCCTTTTTCCTGGATTTTTCCCTTTCTTATATAGGTTAATTGTAGTCTGGGGTGGATGAAACTTAAACACATGGCAGGTCAAGAAATCCATCTTTCCATCCTCCGCTGGTTGATAGCGAGTAGAGCAGAACCTTGTGAGCATACTCCACAGCATCCAAGCTGGCTAGAGAGAACAGGGAGACCAGGACAGCCAAGGCCACCCAATGAGGCATCATGTGACCAAATAGCTGCAATCAAGTGACTACCTAAAAACCCATTTCTTGAGGATTGCCACTTAAAGGAAAAAAATTTGTTGTCCCCAGCCCAGAGTTTGAAGCCATGTTGAGGAATAACACAGGTAGATGTTTTAGGCTTTTTGCTCTGTCTTGTTTTTTTAATTCATATGACAGTGGGTAAGCCCATGAATTCAGATAGTGTCCCTTTCAAAAGCAAACAAACAAAAAATCCTAGCACTTGTTTCGGGGGTAACGTCAAATGCAGCTCCCTTTAAAGGTCCTCATGATTTATGATCCAAATTTCCAGTTCTGAAGTGACAACAATCTGATTCTGAGTTTTCTTTTCAAATCATGTCTACTATTAACATTTAATAAATTCTCAAAGGTCATGCCCTCTTTCAGTTCAAGGCAGTTTGCATTATGAATGCCAGGGGTTACGTAACTAACAGTTTCTGGAAATGGTAAACAGCTGAGACTAACCCTAAAAATAAATTCTTCTGGGATTTTGTGTGTGTGTCTGTGTGTGTGTGTGTGTGTGTGTGTGTGTGCGCACAAAAATCCATCTGCCCTCACTGTAGGTTCATCATTAGAGAAATCACTGTCTGGATCAAGCAAAGGAACAAAAGTGTCATTGGAAGTCCTCAGTGCTCTGTGCCTTTCCCATAGCAGCTGTGTACAACCTTCACCTTTGAGGGGGATACCCACAACTCCAAGGCCGGAAACATCATCCAGTATGTGTATACATCCCCATGACAGAAGCATTTTCCAGTATGTGTACACACACTGCCCCTTCTCTCAGGAGCATTTTAGAACAGGTGTGTATACACCCACACGCAGACTCCATCCACTCCCAGGATTTTCCAGTGTGTACATATATATGCAAATACACAGTATTTCACACACACAAACACACACACACACACACACACGGGGTATTTCCACTATACACAGACACAAATACCACCCCAGAAGCTTAATTTAGTACATGTATACACACAAACACATACACACATACCCCCTCTAAGATACCCCAAAGGCATTTTTCATTTCATACACAACCATCACGTACACACATTTGCAGAGTCTCTCATGCATGGACTATTTTCCAGACATGTACATGCATGCATACATCTGCACACACCCCCGGGAGTATATTCTAGCACTTGTGTGTAAACACACATACACTCTCTCTCTATCCCTCTCCCGAAGCATTTTCTAGTCTTCACTACAAAATGAGAAGTTTAAAGGAAGAAAGCTCTTCTCTGAGATTTTGATGGAGAAGCCATGAGATACTTAAATCGCTTATTTCTGTCTAGTTCCTCCTCTTCTGATTATAGCCATCTAAATCCCTTATTCTATAACAGACTGGATTAGATATTCTTATTTTAGTACCAAATAACAGGTGGTGTTTACCTGACTTGAAGGTTTGTGGAAAACTCCTCCTATAAACATTTAGTTTTCAAATATATTGGGGAAGTCGTGTGGAAAACCAATAGGAGATGAATTTTGTTCTTTATGTTCTTGGTTCACACTGAACTCACTCCCAGTGAAGAAGATGAGAGTACCTGTTGTATGAAGCATGTTACTTTCAAGGAACCCTAGGAAGGTAATGTGAGGTTGAGATTGAAGTGGAAATCATTTGAGTATCACCCATAGCATTACATTATTAGTCCATTACTTGCCTCGACTTTTCTATTAACTTTTCAAGTTTCAACTAGACAAAGATTATCAAATAAATTTAATATTAGAAACAAAGAT